TGCCTGCCAGGTTAAACCACGACAAACTGATAATTTTTTCATTTTAAATCCCATAAAAAACGTGTATTTTTTGTAATTCCTATATTTTAGACTAGATGTTTCTAAACTGTGGCACATGTACCACTAGTGAGCCATGTTAACGTGATAACCCGTTCATCAAAGCAGTGGCAGCATTTCCAGTTAGGAAAATAAGTATGTTAAATTTGAAACCTCTTAAAAGAAGCATCAAAATTAATATTGTACTTTTTTTTTTTTTCCCCCTGACCCGATCTGTCTTCCCAAATTGCTGGGAGGGACTTGGGGGAGGGAAAATCTTGATTATCTTGGTGGGGATGGTTATGGGAATTTGGGGTGGTTTTGATTTTTCCCTTTACCCCTCCGCCCCCTGCATAGTAACAACATGTTATGTTTTTCTGCATTTTCTTGTTGGATTCAGAGATGATCAGGAATTAGTCTCTCTGTCAGTACTTTTAATACTAGGTTTCTTTGTGCATAGGAATCCACATATGGTACTCATATTCATGAAAAAAGGGAAGAGCGAGAGGCAAGATTCTGTAATACAGTTCATGACATTGTAAATAGAGGAGGTAGAGGTCTTATTCCTGTGTTTGCCCTGGGTCGAGCTCAAGAACTACTTTTAATTTTAGGTATGTACCTTCCCAGCTCTTCTTAAAAAAAGGCATATAAAGTTAAATGAGAATGTTTTCGTGTGCATGTATAATGATTTTTTTAAACAACCCTTCAGCCATTTTTCAGCATGTTAATTACCTTAGAATATGTAATACTGTTTGTTCAAATGGAAAAACCCAATCAACTAATCAAGGCAGTTCTGCTTTGTGAGGCAGAAAGGACACCTAGAAAGGAAAAAGTAATGGCATGATAGTATGTGCTTGACTTTTGAATCTTGTTGAACTGGGATTTCAGCAAATAGGAACTATTACTACAGCTTGAAAAGGAAGCAATCAAAACATGACTCTTCTAGTTAAACAATATTGCTAAAAAAAGATATATTTTATTCCAAAGTTTCACTGTCTTTGCCCTTTACTTCACAAACCTATATGAAGAAGTCTTTATAGGAAAAGATGAGAAGACAGTAACAGACACTTCTAGCATTTCTAAAGTCCTAATGATAATGGAAAAGCAAATTAGGCTTTGTTAAGAAGAGCAAAAATGGGGAGGGGAAATTATACATGATCATAACAAGCCACTCCACATAAAATATATAAGTAGTTGTTACAAGGTACTTCAGAGAAAACAGTTTTTAAATAAATTATTTCCAGGCTTCTTTGCTTCCTTTTAGCACATTTAATTTGTACTATGTTACGTGATTTTTCACTAGTCTTTTTGCTCATGCAAATGGTGGCAAGATCAAAAGATAACTATCTCAAAATTAAAATACTTACTTTTATGGATGTTGAATCTAAAATGTTACCTGAAATACTTGAAATTCTTCTCACTTTCCATTTCAGTTTAGCTCAACATTAAAAACTAGTATGTTTTCAAAATGTGTTACTGGTCTATTCAAATGTTAATAAGAAATTTGGATCTAGGCATGGGGTAGTATTCGATGTTGTTGGATTATTTACTACTTATCATTGATTGAGGTTTTTTTGGTTTATAGAGGAGATAAAAACTGAACATTTTAAATCTTGTATAGCCATTAGTTTGTAATTTGTTGGCCTCTCCTTGCTTTGTGTAGATATTAAAGTGAGTTCCTAAAGGTAAGCTTGAAAATACATCTAGTAAAGCTAGACACACAATTGGATGCTTAATTAGGTAGAAAATGCAATTGCACCTCACGTGCCTACACAACTGAGCCCGCAGGCTTCTGTGTTTGTTTTTCTTCTTTCCATAAGTGTCTGACAAAAAATAAAATACTGCTTTGTGGTATAGAAGATTATGATGATGGGTGCAGTCTTTTAATGTCACTCTAAATCCTGCTATTGGTTATCTTCCATTGGCTGTTTTTGCCTTACACTTGAGCTTATTAAGATAGTCATGGCAGTGAGCCTCTCTGGCATGTTCTGAAAAGCTTTGTCTGTAGATCAAAAATGTTAGGGTAAAGCCATATAATTTTAAATGTAGAAATACAGCCAAAAGAGTGTACCTCTATTTTTGGATGATCATTCCTCACTTATGCAATATAAACATGTATTAGACTAGCAGAACTGTATCCAAATGGGAAAACAAATAAGTTATGTTTGTATAGCTGCATTCAGATCTCTTCTTTGTGTTTAGTGAAGGTTATGGCTACTGTCATCAGTGATAAAATAAGTTGTGGTTATTGGAGGCTTTTTTCCTGTTTTTGTTTCAGTTAAGCTTGTAAAATGTAACTGTTGGTGATATAGAGGAAGCCAGGCTTGCTAACTGTGTGATCCCTTCACGCCTTGAACTCCGTGGATTTGTTTTACAGAACTTTGATATAGTAAATTCTCACCAACATATCTATGTGCAGATGTCCCTGGCTGTTAAATGTATAATTAATATTTGACAGAGACATTTTAAGTTTATTGCAGTGGTGTGGTAAAACTTGCATTGTTGTAGATTTATTGCTGTGTAATATCATGTATACTTTATACTTTGTAGCTGAAGTTGGTGATTGATTGGAATTTGGCCTTCCAAAAATATCTAAAGTTCATCTTTTTCTTGTTTGTTTGCCTGTTTGTACTAGTTGTATACATTTTTAGTTGGTGATTGCTTTTTCTTCTTTAGTAGAGAAGGTGAAAAAAAAAAAGTCCATGATTGTGATTTTCTGTAATAAAACCCACTGCTAAATCTGTTTTACAAGAAGTATTAACATTTCTGAGAAGCATGCATTTTGGAGGTAATGGTGTGGGTGGGGTTGTGTGGTTTTTTCATTGGTGGTTTTTTTGTTGTTCTTTTTCATCATTTTTGTTTTTTTAGATGAATACTGGCAGAATCATCCTGAACTCCATGATATCCCTATATATTATGCCTCCTCTTTGGCAAAAAAATGTATGGCAGTTTATCAGACCTATGTCAATGCCATGAATGATAAAATCCGCAAGCAAATTAACATCAACAATCCATTTGTTTTCAAGCATATTAGTAATCTGAAGGTAAGCTTGAGATAAGGTTGTCTTACAAAAGAGGAAGGGTGACAGAAGAGTTCATATTTACTGAATAGTTTGCATGTTTACTATCCTAATAGATTGATTAGGTACAGGTTTATATCTGAGTTATCTGCTATCCTAGTGTTTAGAGGGCTGGTTGAGGGGAGCTTATGCGCCAACTTTTCTTCCACTATAGATCCCTGTGCTTATAGTTTGCTCCTTATGGGCATCAGTATGAGGAACTTTCCTGCAAAGGGCAATTTTTCTGAGGATGGGGTATAATCTGTGAACATAGGGCTCTACTTGTATGTTGTTCAAGGGTGCAGCTATCTGTCCTTCATTTAAGTGAGTTATGGTAACTGATATTCTTGCTGTTTGTCCATTTAGAGTATGGATCATTTTGATGATATTGGCCCAAGTGTTGTGATGGCTTCCCCAGGTATGATGCAGAGTGGCTTATCCAGAGAGTTGTTTGAGAGCTGGTGCACAGATAAGAGAAATGGAGTAATTATAGCAGGGTACTGTGTTGAAGGAACGCTTGCTAAGGTGAGTTGTTAATGCACCACAAGTTCTTAATACAAGTAGTATGCATGTTATGTTTGAAAAGAATCGGCTAGTAGCAAGTGTCTTTATTTGGATTTACTGAGAAGATTGTTGTCAGGCATGCATAATTATGTAGTCAAAACTATTTGCTTTTGGCTAATACTAATGAAAAGTACAGAAAATTTGCATATGGCCATTTCCAGTGATGTTATACAAAATAATTTTTTCTAGGAGCAGTTCTTTGTCATGAGAAAGAATGATTGATACTTTTCTCCACCATCTAACTTTTTGAGAGGGGAGCTCTAACCCTAATTCCAGAGGAGTCAGTATTAAATCTAACACTACTTACATGTCAGAGATCATACTGCCCTCCGCACATTGCGCCACTGTCTGGTTGTAGGGAATGGAATCCTTCCTTCCGAGTTCCAGCAGCTAAGGGCAACCAGAGCATCTAGTTTTGCCTTTAGAGATAGAAATCACACACTTGTTATAATTTCAATGCAAATTTGAGAGAGATGTATCTGGAAGAAGAATAAACTCCCAGATCTGCTGGGGATGCAAAAGATGAAATGGTGTGTGTTGTGCATGCTTTTTTTCATTTGTGAGTGTGTGTTTTGTGAAATTTGAGAGATTTTTTCAGTTCTTCACATTTAACCTGGCTGCCAATATTATTTCATTGGTTTTTGAAATGTAAATCATTAGTTATATGGTGTCTGTAGGAGGCTTTTGATTTTTTATTTAAAGTGCTCTTTTTTTCTAGCACATCATGTCTGAACCTGAAGAGATCACAACTATGTCAGGGCAAAAGCTCCCACTGAAGATGTCTGTGGATTACATTTCTTTCTCTGCTCACACAGATTATCAACAAACTAGTGAATTTATCCGGGCCCTGAAACCTCCACATGTGGTTAGTATACGTGCTGCCCATTTCTCCAGAGTGGGATTAATCAGACCAGTTCACAGCCTTGAGTCATCAAGGCAGGTACTGGTGTCTAGCAGTAGGCAGCATCCCTATGCTTTGAATTACAAAAGGTGGAGATTTTAACCATTTTCCATCATGTTACCTTAGCAAAGTAAAGACGAACTTGCTCTCGACTGTCTGCATGTGAGATATCTGTGGATGACTTTCAAGAAAGTGGTATGGTCCATAACCTGTTTCAGCAGTGTTTTGCACAAGATACAGTAAAGGACAACATTAAGTTGGGGACACTGCTCTTGGAATAATTCATTGGAATTTGCCCCAAAATAAACAAGAAAACATTGGCTGAAAAAGAGTAGGTCAGTCTGAAAGAAGGTATGTAGCAGGCAGCAAAAGACAAAGGCAGCACTTGGGAGGAAAAGCATGAGCAAATCACAGGGAGCAGAGGAGTGAAGGACCAGAGTATGAAAGTGGGGACTAGGATCTGAAACTTGCTGAGACTGGCGGAGAATCAGTGTGCAAGCACAGATAAGGAATAAAACAAATCATAGCAGAAGAAAAGAGGATTTAACTTGGCAAAGAAAATTGTGAACTTAGTAAGCATACTCTCTGAATTGTATGTTTACTCTATATATATGTTTACTGTATATCAGGGTCGTGAAATCTAGGCCTTTGAATAATGCAAAGGCACACATAGAACTGTATGTAGTATAATTGAGCTAATGTTTCATATATTGTGACCTCATGAAATTACATTTTATAAAGATGAGGTACCAGATGGCAATTTTCTTGGATAATTTGCTTACTAAAATTGTCTGGTTGGACAAATAACTTCAGCTAAAAGGAAAACTGTCTTTCTATAGATTTTAGTTCACGGTGAGCAGAATGAAATGGCCAGATTGAAAGCAGCATTGATACGAGAATATGAGGATAATGATGAAGTTCATATAGAAGTTCATAATCCTAGGAATACTGAAGCTGTGACGTTAAACTTCAGGGGAGAAAAACTTGCCAAGGTATAAAATTAATATTTTCTTACGTGTACAACAGTATTTTCCTCTGGGCTAAAAACTACACATTTTCTTCCAAGCCTCTATTTTTAATTGGTTTCGGATTGTGTATGTTTTCCAGGGACTCAAAGTATGTGAATGTTTTGGGTTTAGTGTTGTATTTGGGGTTTGGGTTTGGGGTTTTTTTGGTGGGGTTTTTTTTTTTTGGCTCTTCACTCTTCCAACGTTTTCTTTTGTTACATCTCGGAATGTTTGTTGGTTACTCTGACTTTCCTTTATTTTCAGAGTTAATTTTATATGATGTTTGATTTTTCTGAGGAAACTATATTTCATCTCCATAGTTAACTTTAAGCTATGACTTCAGATTGCCGTGTTGCACTATGTATGTTTTTTCTTTGCAGGTGATGGGATCTTTAGCAGATAAGAAACCAGAGCAAGGACAGAGAATTTCTGGAATCCTAGTTAAAAGAAATTTTAACTATCACATCCTTTCTCCATGTGACCTCTCCAGTAAGTAAAGACTCAGTAGGTAATTGAAACTTACTGTATCCTTCTTCTGTCATTAAAACACATACAATACTGGGTTTTTCTCTGTAATTTTGTGTTTGATAAGCACTTAGTGAACATCTTTGTTTTAGTTTGGCTTGGTTTTGCCAAAAGTTCTGAACTGTTAGAGTGAGAAGCAAGGCATTCAATTCTTTGTCCACTGAAGTTTAAAAAAATTTCTGTTCTTCCTGTAAAAGAAAAGAAGCAAAATTCCATTCCCCTTATGGTTACTTAAAACGTCTTCCTCTGTATGAATATGCATAAAACATGCCAGTGAGAACAGAAGAGCACCTTGATCAATTGTCCTGCCAGTTTCTAAAATGTCAGTAGTTTTCAGTGTAAAAAGCTACAGTACAGTGAAAATACTGTGTATTGCTCCTATGCTATTTATTACTTAAGAAATTGATCTATTCTCAAAATAGAAGAATAATTAAATGAACTAGTAATGTCGCAAGAGCTTGGGGGAAAGCATTCATTGTTTGCCTTTAATGGGTATGATAAAGTAACAAGCTCTTGCTGGTTTCTTAACCACAAATATGTTATTTATCTTACAACAGACCCTCCACCCTCCTCTTTACAAACTGTCCTTTTCAGCCCTCTGTCTTGAATGTATTGATGCCATTATTTAGCTATAGTGACAATTTTATTTTTTAGGAAGCAAATTCAAAGGGATAATTTTTAATACATACTTTTAAAAATTCTTTCAGATTATACAGACTTGGCAATGAGCACTGTAACACAGACACAAGCCATTCCATATACTGGCCCTTTTAATCTGCTTTATTATCAGCTACAAAAACTTACTGGTGCGTATTTGGAAAGACATGTTCATGATTTATAGTGGTCAATTTTTAAAACAACTTGTAGTCTTTAGAGGTCTTCTGAGTGGAAACTTCTTTGCCAGTAACTGAAGTGCCACAGTTTTTGTTTCATGTTTTACAACTTTCATTAGATTATGCAGCTTCTGCCAGATCCAGTTCATGAGTATGACGCATCCTTTTTGGGGGATTCTACTGTAGTTGTACTACAAAATCATGAGTGTATAGTAATATAGAGCCTATGCTGATTTTTGTCTCCTGTCAGCCCCCAAAGTCTGATGCAAAATTTGTTAATTGATCTTTTATCTCCAGCCCCAAAACAGAATGGGTAATGCCATCCAATTAATAAAAAACAAAAGCTCTGTCCTCCTTTGTGACAGACAGCCTCTTTTGTCCCTCCCTGAGAGGCAAGAATCTAACCTTGTTGGCTTTTTCTGAGTCAGAAGCTGTTTAAATCTGCCACTAATGTGATCCCCAGTGCCACTGTCTAGCTTTCTTAAAGGATAGGGGCAACTCTTGTCCTAGTTCATTAAAGGCACACACACTTTGCAGGATCCCTTCCCAGATTTAAAGCTGAGGATTTTTTTTTTTTTTTTCTTCTTCTCTAGGGTCAGAATCTAATTCATATCTCTAGTGAAGAGGGAACCTGTATTCAGCTGGTGTTCAGGTCTCATAGCCTGAGAGCTACCTGGCACACAAATGCTTTTGTTTTATCCTCTATGCTTATGTAAACAATGGATTATCCTTTAAGGGTGTAAGAGGAGCTGGTTAATTCACAAATGGAGCAATAAATTTCTCATTTTTTTCCTTTTTCATTGGTGTACACATGTCAGTGTACTAAGCCAGTCAACTACGAGAATTCAAAACAAGTAAAATGGCCAATGTTACATACTAAAAAAGCCCAAACAATCCAGACCAAAGAAGATAGTTTTGTCAGGCAAGGGAAGAGAGTGTGCACTTCAGGCTTAGAAATTAATTGTGAGCTGCTGTGAGCAGTTGTGATGATAATCTCAGCATTCTTAAAAATGACCTGTTTTCTTAGGCAGATAAAGTTAGTCTTGTTTTCAGTACAATTTTATCCTTGCTAACCATTTGTTACCACTTCTTAGGTGATGTAGAAGAAATAGAAATCCAACAAAAACCAGCCTTGAAGGTTTTCAAAAATATTACTGTGATCCAGGAACCAGGCATGGTGGTCCTTGAGGTGGGCATTGGTGAGGGAGAAAGAAGTATTTTGTTCTCCAGTTTCTGCAAAATAGTATCATACAGATGCCATGCAGAATTAAATGTTTGAAGTAGTTTTCTGTTGGATGACAAGTAGAATGAAAGCTACAACAAAGTTTCACTTCAGCTATGGTCCTGTGTTGATGCATGTTGTTTCATTTAGCCACTGCTATTTTTTTTTGTTTGCTGTGACTCGAGTATTATGGCAGATTCGGTGCCCTTTTTTTATTTGGCAAATAGTAATTGGAAGTAATGTCAAATGGTGTTCCCTCCTCTCCCCCTTCCCCAAATAGTTGTGGTAATTAATAACTATTTCATAAATGTGTTCAGAAACATTCCACAGCTTGAATTTTTCATGGGAAGTTACTGGAATATACCAAGTTAAAAATAGTTAATAGTTTGGTGTAAAATGTATGACAGTCATTTGAAGCTAGAATTCAGAGAAAAGCAAATAGGAGAATGCGTGAATGTTACATTGTTTTTATATTGCATTATTCATTCAGTCCAAATAATGGGCTCAAATTATGAATTTTTTTTTTATCTTCCAGTGGGTGGCAAATCCTGCTAACGATATGTATGCAGACACCGTGACAACAGTGATACTGGAAGTTCAGTCAAATCCCAAAATACAGAAAGGTAGTAAGTTTAGTGTATGCTTATTTAACTGAGGCATTTCTTCTTAATTTTTTTATATCAAGCTTAGAGGGATATAATGCCTTGCAATAGATTGCAATCCCACTATTGTACTTCCTCTCCTTATGAAACTTTTTAGGGAGTAAGATTTGCTACCTAAAAACAGAATTACAACTTGGTCTTCGTTATTCATAACACGTTCATTTGTTGAAACTGTCTCTTATATGGCATCTGGTAGCTGACTGTGGAAAATGTGACCTTATTTAAAATAAGTTAAATATTACTCACTTTAGATTTTTGTGTATAAACAATTTATGATATCTCATTTAAATATTTCAATTTCTCATTTGAAAGTTATGATTACCATTCATAAGTGGTATTTCTATGACTGTACATCAGAAGGAGTTAGGTAGACAATGCTGAAAAAAAGACTAATTTCACAACTACACATATGCAGACCCTGTAACCAAGTAATATTATTGGGTAGTGATAGCATCATCAGATACTGCGTTTGACGTTGCTGTTCAAGAATCACAGTGGTTTTGTTGGCATTACTAGCAATGATGGTTTATATTTTTTGTTCCACTGTTTTGCTTTTGAATATGTGTGTCACCGTGCTAACAATCTGGAGCACGTATTGAATATTGGGTTGGTCACTGAGGATAAATGTTGCCAGCTTGGCAACACAGTAACACAGATAATTTAATAATCCATTTATCAAAATAAAATAAGGGATTTTTTTTCTATTTTCTAGGGTCTGAAATTACTTTTTTTGCCACTACCTGCATCATTACTTGGAATATACGTTTTTATTATACTTACGAAGAACTTATTAAATTCTGCTTTTGTGTACCCTTGCTCACCTAGTGACATAAGTAACAGTTATGTATCCATCTTAGAGCATTATTCATCTCCAGTTTGGATGTGGTCAGGCAAGCAGAACCCAAAATTCTATTCCCTGGATGTTATGTAAAAGTAAGACCAGTTGGGTTTTGGTTTTTTTATTCAGCAAAGGATAATATGAGTATCGGTCATATTAAATCAATCCCAAGGTCACACCTTAAAAACTCATAAGCTGTGTCTTTAATGCCTGGCAGGTATGTTCTGTGCCCTTAAATAGGGGACCAGTGGCATGTGTGACCTTATTCCCTATTTTTCCTTTGCGTGGAAAATAGAGTACTAGGGAGGAGGTGAGGAAGTCCTTCTGACATGAACTCAGGACACATCTGAGGTGTGCGCTTGAACCCGGAAGCCTTCAAAGCAGTCTGAGATCCTGTGCTATACACATTGTCCCTTCGGCCTCTGTTAACTCATTCTGTGATCATCTTCCTTTTAACCAGTTCCAATGTTAAAAATTCTGTACTGTTCCACATCTTCTGATCTTACCTAAGGGTTTTTAATGTCATTCTGTATCAGATCCTCTACTGAAGTCTGATGGTCTAGGTCTATCCTTAAAATAACTGATGTTTTTAAATTATCAGAGACTGATAGTGAGGAGTATGGCTTGACCTGTCTCTTATGAACCCCACATGATGTTTTATTCGTAACACTTCTAGTAGATTTTTCTTTCCAAGCCAGCATGGAAAGCACTGGAGCTATACGGACAAATAGGTGTTTATTTTCCCTGGGTTACTCCTCTTGTATTTTTATTATTTATTTTGTAATTATATATATAAAATAGCAATCACTGTTCCTTAGGTGTTTAGTCCCACACCTGAGTCAAGAAATGTGTTAAAAATTCTTTCTCCTGAATTTATAAATTCACATAGCAGTTCTTCCTTTGTTTTGGGATAAAGCTTCTCCAGTCCCCCTGATCTAAGCAGATTCAGAGTGTAATTTTCTTATCTTGGTTGTGATCGTTTTCAGTATATATCAGCCCTTCTAGCCATGCCCTCATGTTTTGTTGTACTGAAACTAACCAAAAATAGAAATTTTATTTTTGGATGGTACTTTGACCTCCTTTCTGCACCCCCACCCCCCGCCCCCCAAGTCTGTCTTTATATGGCTGGAAAAAACCTTGCACTGTTTCACCAATTTTTTTAGTTCTTATTGTAATATCTGACTTGGCCTGACTTTTGGTAGTCCCCACTTTATCTGTACAATCTGCTAGTGACAATGTCTAGCTTTCTTCCCCCATAATTAATTCCTCTGTCTATTTTTATATGCCTTTTTGCATTATTTCTCATGTTGTTTCATGGTGGTGATTCTATCAGCTAATCTCAGGTGTGGCTACTTGCAGGATTTTTTCCTGTATTTGGGTTTTTTAACATGTTCCAAATACTTCTTGCACTTGTGTATTTTAGAGCATGTTCACAGGATCACAAGTGATTTAATTTAAATATCTTAAGCTATTGTTGCTCAGTTGAGCATGTGCCTACTCTTACCTCATTTCCAATATAAAATTGTTTTGCTTGGTACATTCAGTTACTGCATCTTATCTAAGGGATGGTGAATTTTTAAGATGCACTTGCTTAGTCTCTTGCAATTACGAAGTTCTTCAAAGAATTTCTAAGTTATTCTAACTACCATTGTGTTCGGTTCTCTGAACTCTTCAGATGATTTAGAAATCTTGAAAACTAGTTTTTAAAAAGCCTTCTTTTAAATAAACTCTAGCTGTAGATCTGTTTTGTTTATTCATCAGTGAAACAGGTAGTGATTTTCACAAATAGTTCTTCCCATAGACTTCTTACTCCTTTAATGATCAAATACTTTCAAAAGCAAATTACTTGTTTTAAACTATCTTTTGATTTTGAAACCAAATATAAAACCAGTATCATTATTTTTATTTCAAACTCTGTATCCTGAAACACATTCCAGGAATGTCTGTGCCTATTACCACTACTCACACACTTGCTGTCCAGTTTTACTTTATGTATGCTCTGCATGCTCCTAGCCTCCATGATGCAGTATTTTCCTGTAAGAACAGAAAATGGAGAGATTATAAAAGAAATTATGAAAGTGGATTATTTTCACTTTTAAGTAAAGGAAATGTGAGAAGTAATGAGCGTTAACAATAAAAAGGAGAATTGAGAAGTAAGAATTAGACTTGGAAAGTTGTCTATTTTAAAATGTTGTAAGTACAAGGAATATAAATTTTAAATGTATGTACTTCCTTGACTGTTCCATCTTTTTTTTAATACATTTTCTTTATAATATGTTTAAACATACAAATCTTATATAGCTTTTAGATTGTTTATCATGAAAGTGAATTAGGAACCAGATTGTATCAATTAGTCAATTTTCCCTCCCAGCAAATGTCTCTGAAAGTAAAATGACTTTTTCTTTTCAGCTGCAGTACATAAAATTTCAAAAAAAGTAGATATGGATGTCTATAGGAAGAGAACAGAGATCATGCTTCAGTAAGTTGGCATATATTTTTCTAAAGGAAAATGATCACTGTTAATCATGTAAATACAATAATTTTAGTATAATACAGTTTAAAGATACAGTTACTTAAAAATACTTTGTGCAAGTTTAATTCAGTCTAATTTCTGTGAAGGCCAGGAATTAAGTAAAGCAAGAGGTACAGTAAAAAAAGTTCTCAGCATCATTAAAATTTTGAATACAGGGCCCAGTTATTTCTTCCAGAAGCGAATTTTTAAGTTGTCTCCCAAAATTATGCTATGAATGCTTATGAAAATACTGTTTCAGATCTCTTGTCTTTTAAAACTTACTCTGATGTGTGTTCTATTATTTAGGTAGAACTCTTACCTCTTTTGAAATCAAAGGAATCCTTCCCTTCATTTATGATGAGATTTTTTTTTTTTTGTAAAATACTTACTGTTATGTGACACCTACTGTTGTAATACTTTAGATTGATATTTGTTAATTGTATCTGAGTGGGTTAAATAACAATTGCTGAAAGGAGATACTCTGCTAACAAAATGCCTTTGGAAGCCTAAGATTAACAGAAAGAAAAATGGAAGTTTGCTGTTTGGCCACGTCTTACATGCATAGATCTTTGTTTTAGGGATATGTTTGGTGAAGACTGTGTGAGTTCAAAAGATGGCTCTGTCCTGTGCGTCACGGTTGATGGAAAGACTGCAAACATTTCACTGGACACTCGGGTATGTACAGCAAAGCACTTGCTTTTGTGTGCACTATGTTTAGCAGAGGTGAGTCTCCAGTCTAGTATACAGTGCTGCCTAGAATATTGTGTACCCATTTGCTAAGGAAATGTTTTTGTATTTGGTATCTTAAGCCTATTCACTTTCCATTAATTTCATTGACCTTCTCATCAGCTGATCAGTACTCAGCCTTTCTGAGAGAAATACTCATCCAGCCTGCAAGCTGAGTTTACTGAGTTACAGAAGCATTTGGTAGAGAGTTTTCTTCATTAAAAAAATGCTAGCAATGTTTATGTAACAAATGCAGTAAATTTGGAAGAAAAACCAGTATTTTTCAGCAGCTCTCTACTTGCATAAAAATGAATAAAGAAAAATTGTAGAGGAGAAACTGATTTAACCCACAAATTTCTTTTTAATGCTCTTAAAATGTAGGCTGTGGTCTGAATAATTGAACAATCACAGAGTAGGAATGATGCTAATAAAATTTTTTTGGTCATCTTGATCCTTTTGTAGCTAAATTGAAAGCCTGAAATACTCATAAAAAGAAATACTTTATTAATTTACTAGCTAGATTTGGAATTGGATGTCATGTGTGTCAGGAGGCTGCTTTAAGAAGCTATCACACCCAGTTATTCGAACAATGTGGAATTGTAAAGAATGGTTAAAACCATGTCCTTCATGTCCTTAAGCATTTTAATTTATTGACTTTTTGTCATTATTAATAACATATTAAAACTATATAATGTATTACCACTATCCACAGTAGTAATATATTCCACTGGAGTAGCTCTCGGATGCTGGCCTTAGGGACCACAACAAATGTTTAAGTGTTCTACAAACCCAGAACAAAAGGTTGGTCCCTGCCCAAAATTTGTTACCTATTGAAACAAAACAAGTGAATATTAATTATCTTAAGAGGATAGTGAGTTACAGTTTTGTGGTTAACACACAATGCTTGCTGTGTCATCTTTTTTCAGTTTTTTAATAAACATATGCTACATTTCAATGTATACATAGTACAGAAAAATACAGGACTGATGAAAAGAGCTCTTGCAACAGAGAAAAAAGTAACAAGACTGGGAAAAAATGCATAGTGCTTAATCAAGAAGTTAGGTTTCATTTGCATATAATATTATATTGATATTTGTCATTACTGTTAAAAGACTTGTGTACTGACAGAAACCCTAATGGCAACTCAACTGCAACAGTGTGTATCTTTGCAATACTTATTTTAAATACTGTGTGGGCAGTGGCAAGCTTGTGCCATTGTGAACCAAGTTTTACAGGAAAGATCTGTCCTTCTTTATGTGCCTATGTATCTTCTTATAAAACTTTAATACCTTTAAAATAAAAAACTGTTTAGTATAGATCTGACTATATGATGGGACACGTGGATTTATTTTTTCCACGCTAACTGTTAACACAGTGCTCTTACAGTTAATATGCTTTTAACAGCATTGTTAGGTATCATCAAATGCATGTTTGCTGTTTCAAATGCCTTCCCCCCACCCGCCCAAAACTCTTATGGTTGAAAGGAGTTACTTGTTCAGATGAGTAACGAGTTAATACTGGATTAGAGAAGGTACAGTCTTAGAGCTTAGAAGGTCCATAGTTTCAAGAATAGTATTACTATGCAAATGCTGCCCTTTGTTTTTGAGATAGAGCACTCAGGGGATTGGGTTGAATGTTGATCAACTTGCATGTTTGGGGTGGGCATCTTTCTCTAGGAAGACTTGTTTTAGTGATAAATGGATCTCTTCGGGGTTTTATTTTGATGTAAATGTTATCTTACGGGTGTTGGAACATCAGTGTAGAGACTCCCTGAGTACAGGTGCCTGTACCTCTGTCATGAGTGCACGTGTTTTACAGTATTAACCTAATACAATGCGGGTGAATTCACAGATAAAATGAAACCTCCAAGGACTGAACCTTATAGAATCATAGAATCATTAAGGT